TGATAATAATAATAATAATAATGATGACAATAATGATAATAATAATAGTAATACTACTACTACTACTAATAATAACAATAATAATAACAACAATAATAACGATAAGACTGTCGAAATTATCTCAGATGGCCATCAATAGTCGAGAAGAAAAGTGACCGTCTTGCACAGATGGCTGTTTTACACAGTTCCATTTGCCAATAAGATCTTTAAAAAAACAACAAAAGGAAGGAAATGGGAAGTGGCCATAGCTCCCTCATTGCTCAGTTTCACAGTCGTAGTTCTACGACCATAGATCACTAACGTCCCAGTTTCACGGTCGTAGTTCTACGACCATAGCTTCCCATACGTCCTAGTTTCACAGTCGTAGTTCTACGACCTTAGCTTCCCACAGTCGTAGTTCTACGACCATAACTTCCTGCAGTCGTAGTTCTACGACCATAACTTCCCATACGTCTCAGTTACCCCGTGTTTACAACAGCACGCGGCAAAAACTCACAACAACCCGGCCCTTCCTCACCTCTCCCCCGTCCACCCCTCCCAACCTTCCCCCTGTATATATTTGTTGTTGAACAGTCCTGTCATCTACCACTGGCCAAATAAAGACTCCCAGAGCCCAGCAGACGAGAAGAAACGCCCAGGCCGCGATAAGGAAGGAGGGAATCTGTGCTCTATCGCCTGCTGCCTGCAACATCCGGGCACGTTAACCAGGGAATCGATACTTACCGTATGCGCAAGGCGTGTTCGATACAACTGGATATCGTGTAGGTGTGAGTACTTGTTGCTAACAGATTTAGACGATGTCGATTGTTCGAGAGAGAGAGAGAGAGAGAGAGAGAGAGAGAGAGAGAGAGAGAGAGAGAGAAAGAGAGAGACAGAGCGAGGGAAGAGGGAGACAGAGCGAGGGAAGAGAGGGAAAAAGAGAGGGAGAGAGAAAAAGAGAGAGAAAGAGAGACAGTGGCGGTGGGTAGTGAAGGGCTCACGGGCTTGAGCCCCCCTCCCCACCCCCCAAGTCTATCCCAATGCAAATGAAAATAAAGAAATAAGCAGTTGAAACTGTTCTGATCGACCGCAATGAACAAAGAGTGATCAACTAGGCGGCTTGTTCGTTTATCCAATCACTGTTGTCCCCGCTTACAACTATAGTAACTTAACAGCCAATCAAATGTCTTTAGGGCTCAGCAATCAACCAGCCCGTTCCCACGGTCTCTCCGTAATGAAACCCCTCTTGTAAAAAGGTAGAAGACTTGAAAAAAATA